CAGGGGCAGTCAATGGCCAGAGCCCAGGCTGCAGTCAGGATGTGGGTCCAGCCCTCCCACCTGCAGCATTGCAGGGAGGTGGCCGGCCTTCCAGGATGCCTCTCTCCTGTAGCTGCTCCGACCTGATCAGTGTCTTGCGCCGTCCCAGCCGCCCTGCCCTGGCCTGCTGAGGCCAGGGACCTCAGCTGTCTGGTAGAAGCCAGAGGGAGAGGGTGTCCAGCGAGGCCCTCTCTCCTCTCCATGTCATCAGAGCAGCTCCACCACCAGGGACAATTAGGGCGGCCGGTGAGGTCTGGCTCCGTCGTGGATGTGGTTGTGAGGGAGATGTTGGGAGTGACTGGACAAGGATGGGTCTCGTCCACAGTGGCTCTGTGTGTCCCCAGAGGGGCTGTGCTAAGCTCTGAGTGGCTCTGACCCGCAGGTCGACGTCTAGGAAGGGTGCCTTTGCCAAACTCGTAAAAACGTGCCTATCACTGAGATGCCTGTGAGCAAGTTCTGTGCCCTGCGCAGTAGCTGTCCCTCTGCCTTCTCTGAGCACTGACAGACAGTCCCAAGGCTCTGGGGACTGGCTCAGGTGCTGTCCGCCTGAGGCTTAAGGAGGGGCTCCATTGGACTCTATCGGGAACAGGGTATCACTCGCAGTCTGAGCAGAGAGCCCAGCCTGGACCCCTCACCAGCAGCCCCGGCCTTCAGGGTCTTGTGACCACCTACTGTGGAGACCCTGCTCCTGATGTGCTGACCCAGCAGAGCCCAGGCAGAAAACCTCCACCATGTCAGGTGCCAGGAGGCAGCTCTGCACCCAGCCCAGCTCCACACCCACGGTGGGATCTGGAGGCACCCTGCTGGGTCCCCAGGGGTCAGCAGCCCTAAATCCCTCCACCCCGGCCCTATAAGTAGGCTGTCTGCAAACCCCAAAAAGGAAAGTCACCTCTCCCAAGCCCTCTCCTCCCATCAGCACAAGCCCTGCAGCTCACTCCCTCCTGTCGTCCACCAGTTAGTCCCCAGCGGCAGACACTGGAAGTCCTACCTACCTTTAGCCTGCACCCGTCCTCACCGCCCGTCCCTCTCATTCGCTCCCTCTGACCCAGCGCACTCTTCTTGGCAAGTGATTCACCACCACCAGGGAGGGCCATTTAAGGGGCCCTAGGTCTCCTTCGGCCAGCCCCCGCAGCAGCCTGCACACACCCCCTTTAGAGAAGCCTGGGGCCGGGGCCTCCTCTGAGCCTTGTGGAGGCCTTCAGGCACAACTGGCACTTCTTAGGAACCAAGACCTGAGACTCTGGCTCCGTGTCTCCAGGGGTTCCACCTGGGGTGCCAAAGGTGGCACCCACAGACAGTTCCCCGTGCAGGCCACAGGTCTACAGGGCAGCCCAGGGAACAGGGCCAGGTTGGAGCCATGCCATGGGCCTGTGGCAGGGTTCCCCAGCCTTACCCTCTCAGCGAGGAGTGTCCTGAATCTATCCTGCCTGGAGAGTAGAGCTGGGGACTCCAACAGGCCGCTCCCCAGCCAGATGAAGTCCCCTGTCAAGGAAGGGGCAGGCCAGGGCTAAAGCAGAAAGTCCAAAGTCCTGAAATTCTCCATCAGAGAGGGGCTCCCTCTGAAGGTGGCTCTCTGCCAGGCCCAGTGCACGAAGGCCATCTGGTTAACCGGGCCCTTCGCAGCCCCACCTGCCGCTCACCTAGCCAGTTCTCACCTTCCCAGTGCTATGCCTGCCCTCCAGCTCCGGGCAGCAGCCCCTCACCTCCCTATCTCCCCTGCCTGCCGCTTCTGACCGGTCCTCTGGCTGCACCTCCTCTGCCTCCCAGAGCCTCCCCGCCACCCTGCAGCCTGCCTGCACCCTCCCAGTCCCAGGCAGGGTGGGCTGGGGCTCCCACTCCTTCCTTAGCAGAACCGAATTAGGTCCAGTGTCCCACCTCCCAACCCGGCCGCCACCACCCACCCCGTATTAACTGTAATTTTGTAAGAAGAGTTGACTTGTTGGTTTAATAAATCTCTAGTTATTGTAATAATTTATTGGCTGCCGTAATGTATTTATTAGTCACCTACTGTTAATAAACAGTGCCAGCTCCTTCTAGCGTGAGTGTGATGTGTTGTGTCAGTCAGTGCCAAGGAGCCTCCGCCAGGCGCACCCGCACAACACACGTCCTCGTGCCACCCCAGTCCTGGGGCTGTGGATAGCCTGGTGGCGTGGGCAAGTCCTGCTGGGGATAGGACTCCAGGTGCCCAGTCGCCCTGTCCACCTCAGGCTCTCTGGGAGGCAGGCAGGTGTGTCCTGGTCTGAGCTGCGTCCCAGTCCTGGTGTCCTGTGTGCTTGGTGCCGGCGTGACGGGCTGGGGCTGCACGGCCGGGCGTGGCTATCCTGCTGCTCTCGGGCTCCACTGCAGCCTGGGCAGGTAGAGGAGATGACCGTGGGGACGGCTCCCAGTGGCTCCACAGAAAGGTGACTGTCCATCTGTGACACTTGACTCCTCTTTTCTGAAGTGGTGAGGTCTCTGATTTCAACATACTTCCCTTTTAGGAAGCTGGTGGACACACTGTGCCCCGGCCCCTTGGTGACAGGCTCCAGAGGGACGGCAGTCAGGCCTGGGGCATGGGTTGAGGGTCTCAGTACCGCCGCCCCCTCCCCCAGTGGCTCCCTTCCTGAACTTCCAGGATCAGCCCTTGCCAGAGGCACTCCAAGGCCCTGTCCTCAACCAGGCCAGGTCTGACTGTGCGTGTCCTCTGCTCCCCAGAGCCCTCCCCAGCTCCGCGCTGCTCCACGGACTTTAGACCTTTTAAAATGTGTGTGCGTTGCTGCTCCTGCTAGATTGTAAGCTCTCTGAGGGCAGGAGCCTGGCCTGGTGGCCCCTTGGCTGTGTGGCCCACCACAGGGCCTTGCACCCAAAGGCCAGTCAGGATCATCAATGTGAGCCTCGAGCAAGAGCACGCGTCTGCGTCTGCGGGCAGCAGGGCTGGGCCTCGGCAGGTGAGGCCCTATGCTCCTGGGGAGCTGGCCTGGATTTCTCGTCTAAACCTAAGCTTGGTGGCCTCTTGAGGAAGAGAACTTCAGTCCAGTGCGTAGCCCCTGTTCCCGGCTCAGGTTGCCCTAGCAGCCACCTGTGGTTCCCTCTGGTCCTGGGAGTGCCCAGTGGCACTGCACCCCCAAGCCTCTGTGGAGCAAGGCAGTGTTGGGGCACGGGTGCTGTGGAGCTGGGGACTGCTCACCTCTGGCTGTGGCTTTTCGTCTGTTGGACAGCTGTAGGACGGGGTGCCTTGTGGATCAGGAGGAGGGCTCGGCCCTCATGGTGGCCCAGGGTCCACTTGACCCCTCGACCTCTGCTTGCACTTTCCAGAGCAGATTCCACCATGATGGCAAAGGAGTCTTCCTCCTCCTTGAATGTGACAGTGCGAATGACGGGGAGTGGGGGACGCTGGGGGAGAAATGAGAACAAAATTTCCAGCCGCGGTTAGGGGGGGGTAAGGAAATCCTAAGCGGCGGCGACTGGATGTGTTTGGCAGAATGGAAAGATAAAGCCATTTACCACAGGTCCTACAGTGGGTGAGAACCGTGCTGACTGTCCAGGTGCCCCCGAGGGCAGCTGAGGGCTCAGCCTGCCCGGTCGCCACCCTGACTGCAGCCGCAGGAACCAGAGTCCTGCTGTAACCCTGCAGGTGTGGGGGAGGTAACTGAAGCAAGGACTGAGGATCTGGGGACCCGTCACTGGCTGCTCAGACTGACTGGAAAAGCCACAACTTACATTCTGCCTCCAGCCAGAGCCTCAGCAAGCCTCTACCACTGAGCTGTGCCACCAGTCTCTGCTCTCTAGGGTTCCAGCGGTGTCACCTCATTGTCCTCTAAGGGTTGATGAGTTTACATGACACAGCAAGGAGAAGAGCTGGGCACCATGTTGGCAGAGAGGTCCTCAATGACCAGCAGTGGCTACTTCATCCAGGGGGACGGCTGTGGCCACCAAGCCAGCTCCTACTGTTTCTCATCCCAGAGGCCCAAAACTAACTCACCCTCAGCTCACAGTGTCCACAGTGTCCACCCCAGGTGTCTTCTCTTTGCCATAACTTGTTTCAGTCTAAACTAGGGAGATGAAGTTGAGCCTGGCTTACCTGTGGACCTAGGCTGTGGACCCATGGAGCCAGGTTTATGGTGACAAGTTCCCAGGACTAAGATGGGGTTCTTGGGGACAATAAAAGAGGCTGTCCCTTCCCCCACATCCTTGTGCAGACAAGTGTGCCCCCCGTACTGCAAAAAACACATCACCTAAGTGAATATGCTTGGCGTCCCAAAGTAGAATTATCTGTCCTGGCCCAGGGGAAAGCCGGTCCTCCTAGGACCTGGCTTTACTCGGGGTCCCGTCACATTCTTCTGTTGGCTGAGCAGCTTCCTTGTGTGGAGTGACATGGTCTTACAGCCCCTTGCAGTAAGGCATGGACAAGCCTGACCCAGCCAGAGGAGGTGTGCCCGGTCCCCCCGCATCCCTGAAGGAGTCCTGGGTGGGACCACCTCCTCTGAGTGACAGCCCCAAGCATGCTGACAGCCTGGTGCGATGTTCCCCTCGGACCATAGGAGAAGCCTGGAGTCCCTCACCACTCCCAGAGGACCCTGCCCATCCCTGGGTTGGTGCAGACATGCAGATCCGAAGCCCAGCTCCCCAGTTCCCGTCCAGCACCTCCCCAAGACCTTGCACGGATGGGGGCTGTGCAAAGAGAAGATCCGGGTCAGCCTCAGCCAGAAATCCATGGTTGTTTCCCAGTCCCTTGTCGCCATTGGCCCAGAGGTGGTGGTGCTCTGGTGCTGAGGTGCTCTGCAGATTGGAACGAGGACAGAGTCCAGTGTCCCAGCTCACGGGTTCTGACTGTCAGCCTCTCCGAGGCACCTGGGACACTGGGGCCCCTGTGAGCTGCTGAGTAGCCCGAGCCCTTTCCAAGCCTAATTCTGCTCTTCTCTTTCCCTGTCTGTGTCTCCTGGTGCTGTCTGTCTCCCTGTCTTCCCACCCTGCGGCTGCAGAACCGCATGCACGAGTCGCTCATGCTCTTCGACTCCATCTGTAACAACAAGTTCTTCATCGATACCTCTATCATTCTCTTCCTCAACAAGAAAGATCTCTTTGGTGAGAAGATCAAGAAGTCACCTTTGACCATCTGCTTTCCTGAATACGCAGGTGGGTGTCCTGGCAACCCTGTGCAGGAGCAAGCCCCAGCCCTAGTGGGACCTGGGTCTCCCTCAAAAGGCATGAGCTGGAGTCTGACCACTGTGGGCTGCTCAGCCGGTGCTACTGGGGCCACCAGCCTGCAGGCCAGAGCAGGAGTGTGGCAGGGGTGTAGAGAAAAACACTCAGCACGGAGTCTTAAGAGGACAGTATCCTCTCTTGAGCTCTATGGGTCAGGATAGGTGACTCAGAGTGGCAAGGCAGGGCTGGGAGCTGTGGCGCAAGAGGCTGAGGCAGGAGGACTGCAAGTTCAAGGCCAGCCTCAGCAACTTAGCAAGGCCCTCCGCAATTTAGCAAGACCCTGTCTCTAAATATAAATGGGTTACGGATGTGGCTCAGTGGCTAAGTGCCCCTGGGTTCAATCCCCAGTACTAAAAAAAAAAAAAAAACGAGTGGCATGACAGGGTTCAGGACAGGACGAGAAATGTCCCCTTCCCCTTTATTCCTAGTCTCAGGTCCTAGCAGGAACAGCCTCCTAAAAGTCTCATCAGGAGCCTCACCTGCCCCCTTCCCAGGACAGCCCTGGGCCACACCTTACTCTTCCACAAAAAAAAAGGTGGCTCATAGCCTGACTGGGGCCTAGGCTCAGTTCAGCCCCCGTGTGCTTTGGTACAGTGACCATGTCATGTGTCACAGTCACCACCGTCAGTCTATGTGGCAGCCCAGGCCCAGCCAAAGCATCCCTCCCCTCCCCCACCCCAGCGTTTGGTGCTCATTCTCTTCCCTCTTCCCCTCCCCAGGTCTTTCCTCCAAATCAAACCACTCCACCTAGTGCGAGTCCACCCTGTCCCCCGCCTTCTCTGGGCTTCTTTTTCCAACCTGGCTCTCCCAGGAACACACCACGGCCCCACAACGCAGCTCTTTCCAGATGGCGGCAGGAGGGAGGGTCTGCTGTCGGGGGGACCAAGTCTGGACTGTTGCAAAAGCCCAGGAGCAGGCCGATGAGATACCAGGGCCCGGCCCAGCCCTCTGGGGACCAGAAAGTTTTAGAGGTCTCTGGGGTGGACTCACCTTTACATGCTGAAGAGAACACAGGCCTCGCCATCCTCAGTTAAGGGCACAGGTTGGCTCAGCCAGGAACCTGCTCACCAGCGCCACCCCCAAGTGTTCACAATGTGGAACACGAGTGTGAAGAAGGGCCTGTCTCCTCACTGATGTTCCACATGGCCTGCCCAACCCAGGGTGCAGAGGGGAAGGCCCACTAGGGACTGTGCCCTGCACCCCAGGCTGTTGGGTCAGCCCAGTGTCAGGAGCACAAAGTCTCCCACCGAGCAGGCGCCAGCGCCACCCCTGGAGCCAGGCCTCCTGCAGCTCTGGGCAAGTGACTAAATCCCCTGAGCCTCATTTTTTATCAGGCTCCACAGTAGATCACCCCATGGGGTGGCCACCCCCACATTCTAGCAGCCCTCACAGGCCAGTGCCACCCTCAAGGGCAGGCCCAACCCTTGGGCTGTCCTGTGTAGTGTTCTGCTGGAGCCTACTTGGGATGTGGCCTGAGGAGTGGTCAGTGGGCCTCACTGCTGGATAGTGTGGGCACTGGGCAACTCCCCGCTGATGTCCCCAGCAAAAGCCAGTCTGGATTGGCCACGTCTGAGATCCCCAGGGCCTTCCATGGGATCCACAGATGGCAAACAGTCACCACACCATGGCCCCAGGGGGGGACAGGCCTGTGAGACACAGAACCAGCTGCGGGTGGGAGGCAGTGGCTGACTGTCTCAGGGGCCGAGTGCCCAGCACTGGGCAGCTGTGGGACTTCGTCAGATCGCAGGACTTGGCAGACGGGCACAGTGGGTGTCCCTATCATGGGGCACTTTCCAATACTGCCTTTGTCCCAGGGTCCACCTGCGTCTCTTGGCCTGGAAGTTCTGCTGAGCTCAGTCTCTCTGCTTCTGTGGATCATCCCTAACCCCTGGGACGTCCCCACCTGTCACCCTCATGACAGCTTCCCTGGCCTGGAGCTGCCTTTTGAGTGTCTTTAAAGGAGAGGAGAGAAATCCTTGCTGCTGACCTGAGAGCCTAACTCAGCCACCCCGCTCTGTCCTTACGCTGCCCACAGGACTGGGCAGGGTGGGAGGGATCCTCCCACTCACCCCAAATGACATTGTGCCATTTCTGTCCTGGGCCAGATCCTGGGAGCACTGAGAAAAATGGGGCATCTTCCACTGAAGGCTGTCCCTCCACAGGGCACAACCACAGGGTGGGATTGTGGCCAGTGGGAAAACGCCTTGCGTGTGCACAGGTGAGCCCTGCTATTTGCACCCAGCACCATCCAGGGTCCAGGTGACACCTAAGGAATTGCTGGGGGTGGTGAGGGGGCCCAGCTGGTCACACATGCCGATACCCGCTTTAAATCCCCACCTGGCAGATGCCAGGGCTCCCACATCCAGGCCACTGTAAGCACCAAGAGCTGGGACTGCTTAGAGATGCCCTCAGCCCCACAGAGTGACCTATTGCAGGAACCCACTAAGGACAGAGCCCAGGCCCCACTCAACGTCCACCACGCCTCGAGACCCCAGAAGTCCTGCTCACCACCCGCTGGGCGGTTCCCTCATCAGACTTTATTTTCTTGGTTTATGAGAATCAACAGGACTGGTCTAGATCAGGGAAGGTGTTCAGTGTGTTCCTTTAGAAAGTAGAAAAGGGTGATCTGTGGCCATTGTACCTCCAGAGGCCCGGCGTAGATCCCTTGTGCAAAAGAACCCGAGAAGTCAGAAGCCAGGCGGATACTAAGCCTTACAAAGTTGTTGTTGTTGTTCTAACATTTTTAGCTGAGGGTGGACACAGTATCTTTATTATCGTTTTTTTTTTATGTGGTGCTGAGAATTGAACCCAGGGCCTCCCACATGCTAGGCAAGTGCTCTACCACTGAGCCGGTACCCCAGCTCCCACAGTTTTTAATTTGAAATGGAATGACTGGAGAGTAGTTCCTCTAGTCCCTTCCTCTATCCCATCCCACTTCTGGAACCTGCCACAAACCACTTCTCTCTCCTCTGTGCCCCCCACCCAGTCCCCACCATGCTCACGGGGGCCTCGGCCCTGTCCTCTGTCTCGTTACAGGCTCCAATACCTATGAAGATGCAGCTGCCTACATCCAAACACAGTTTGAAAGCAAAAACCGCTCACCCAACAAAGAAATTTATTGTCACATGACTTGTGCCACAGACACGAATAATATCCAGGTGGTATTCGACGCTGTCACCGACATCATCATTGCCAACAACCTCCGGGGCTGCGGCTTGTACTGACCTCTTGTCCTGTATAGCAACCTATTTGGTAATGATTCCAGCACTCAGAACAGCTTGTGCGCACACACACACACACACACACACACAACACCACTAACAAATGCAACTTGGTAAATAAACTTTAAAGAGGCATAACAAAACCTTATATATACACAAATATATATTAGAAAAATCTTTTTAGTTTGTACTAGAAAGAGCTGTAGACAGAACTGACCGCCATCCCATAGCTCACCGAGGCTTTCCTGGGACGGCGTAGGAGAGTGCACACGTGTGTGGGCACACACCCCCGTGCACACACTCACGTGTGTTGGGAGCCTGGTTGGCAAGTCGGTCCTTCTCAGGACAGCCTGGGGTCTTCGTTTCTAAGACCCACTTCTGTGAGCAGGGGGAGGGCAGAGGAAGGCCAGGCCCGGCCCAGCGTGGTCCCCTGCCCTCCACCCACACAGGCAGTGCCGTCAGTTCTGTCCCTGCTCTTACGCGGATTCCAAAACCCTTTAAGAAAATGGCCAACGCCCTACACATCTCCCAACCCCAGACCCACAACAACAGAAAATTTCGAGGTCACTTCTCTTGGGGTGGTGGTGGTTGTTAATTTTGAAAATTTAGAAGAATCATTGCTCTGATCAATCCACTGTCTCCTGAGTTTTCTTTTTTCTTGTAAACAAGACCAGAATCAGAGAACCGGGAGACTTGATCTGCTTTCTAAAGCAGCCAAGGGGAGGGACTTGTGGAGTTGAAGCTGGCTTCCCTCCCAGAGTGCCCTGGGGACAGAAGGGCCAGGAGGCATCGGAGTGGCCCAGGGGAGGGCTGGACTTGTAGACCAGACCAGAGTCGCGTCCCGTGGGCCGAGGTTTCCCAGGGCGGCTGGGATGGGCTTCACTGGAGCCCTGGAGCCTGAGAGGCCATCCCGTCTGGCCCACCCCAGCCTCAGTTAAAATGTTCTAGGGTATTTTGTTGGTTGGTTGGTTTTTAAAATGGAAGAAAATGGTCAGACTGGACCCCTTATCTCTCTCTCTGCAGACTGCTTCACGGACTCTTTGCTGTTGACGTTGATCTCCTGGTAGCATGACCTTTGGGCCTTTGTAAGACACACAGCCTTTCTGTACCAAGCCCCTGTCTAACCTACGACCCCAGAGTGACTGATGGCTGTGTATATCTGTAGAATGCTGTAGAATCCGGTTTTTAGTTCAGTCTTTACATTTAGAATTTGAAAGAAAAACAAAACAAAACAAAATATTTCTCATGTGCTTTGTAGTTTAAAAAAAAGACAAAGGAAAACTTACCATTTCACCCGTATTTCTTTATCTTTTGAAATAGAGAACATACACATGAGCACCCATGCCCTCCCCTCCCAGCGTGGCGAGGCCCAGGGCCCGTCTGCCACCAGGGCCTGGTGGGTGCATTTACTGGCAGGAGCGCTCCTGGGCGGGGCTCTCCAGAGCCACAGGCCACTGCAAACCCTGCTGCCCATGAGCCACCCAAAGACTGCAGACACCACCGAGGGGTGGCACGCTCCTGTCCCCAGCCCTGCACTCCAGCCACACCCTGACTCCAGGTTTGTATAGAAAAAGCACAGCCCTCCCGGCCAGCAGCTGCCCAGCCCAGCCCGGTCCTGTAGCAAGATGGCCCGAGCAGAGCACCGGTTCCTGCCAGGTCCCCTTTCTTCAGAGTCCCTTTGTAATTTTTTTCTTTTTTTCCTTTTTGTCCTGATGACAAAAAAGAAAGTCTTGGTATCACACGCCAGATCCGCTCTCGCGGCCTTCGGGAAAGGGGTTGCATCCTCCCTTGGCATTCTGGGCCTCGGCCTCTGGGTGACGCTGTCCTCCCGTGTGTGCCCTCCCCCACTTTCCTCCGTTTCAACGTGACCCGTGTTCCCTCTTTCTCATGTGGGGATGTTTGTGATGCAGACAAAAAGAAAAAAAAATTTTTTTTAACTACCACAAGATGGAAGAAAAACACACACACACACACAAAAAAAATAAAAATAAAAAAAGATGGAATGTAGTGTTTACATTAAAGCCACCGTTTTCATGATCAGCCCTGTCATTTCTACTCTGACTAGTGTCCCAACCCCAGACCTCTTCACGGTTTCACTTTTAAGACTTAATAAATTTGCTGAAGACCAGTCACAGCCATTTCAAATAAAGAGGAGGCAAAAAGAAAAAACACAAAAAAATTAAAAATATAGAAAAAAAAACTTGAAAAAAAAAAAAAGAAAAAAAAAGCCCACGGGTCTTTCTAAGCCTTTCTATTCCCAATCGGTGAGGTTTCTGTGATATCTTACACACTGCCAGTCTACTTCTCTAATGGAAAATTCATGTGTAGCTCAATAAAGAGAATGTTTGTCTGTATTTCTGCGTCTCACCCTCTGCCTTCCACTCTGTGTGGTTGCCCGGGATGGAGAGGGAGGGAGGGACACTGGACTTGGCCACAGGCTGGTGGGTGAGTCGTCCCAGGACCTTCTGTGGCCCCCTCTGTGCTGTGACTGGGGTGCCAGTTCAGTGCACAGACAGTAGTGTAGCTGCTTGGTGTCCCCTGGGAAGGCAGACAGGGGAATAGGCCACTTCCTGGCTGTAGATGACCTCTTCTTCCTGGCTCCAGGCCCTTCCACTGACAGCTGGTTGTAGTCTCTGGTGGAACTGAGGATTAGGAAGGCAGAACATGGAGGGCCCCCAATCTTCTGTCTCCAGGGTTCCCACCACAGTGGAAGAATGGGTCATCCCAAGGAGGCCAAATTGCCTGGGCCCTCTGCACCCAAGGGGTCTCATCTACTCAAGAGCCAAGGACAAGCTTGGGACCCGTTAGACTGGCCAGGAAGGTTTCCCTCCATTTTTGTCTGCAGGCCAAACACACAAGGGGGACCGGGGCAGCACTCTCCTGACCCCCAACCCCTTGCATTTCCTGCCATGTTTAATGAGGTAGAAGCTCCCCAGAGATCTGTTTATTGGAATCCTCTCTGCATCCCCTCTCTGATAAGGGGAATTACCAACTCAGAAAGACCTCTCCCTGGCACATGCCATTTGTCATTTAGTGGGGACAGACATAGAGGGTGATACTATTTCAGAAACTGGGAAGACCAAGAGGCGCGTGCCACCGATAACACACGACCTGAATTAATTGTCCTCCCCAGCCCCTCTGCCAGCCCACGCCTCCTTCTCCAGTGCTTCCCTCCACCTCCCTTCACCTGACCTGCTGGCTGCAGAGTGGGGCACCTAACCCACCATCTGTGTTGACAGAAAGGTTTGCAATTCAGGCTACACCTCCACTTCCAATGCTGGTCTTGGAGGCCATATGAAAGCCCAAATGGAAGGCTGAAGGAAACTAGGGCATTCTCTACTACATGTGGTGTATCTGAATCTCTCTAAACACTAGCCATCTGCTAACAGGGCTTTTCCCCAACTTTCAAATGAATTTTGTAGATAAAACCAACATTTTTCTTTTCCATTTCTGGAGATGAAACCCAGGGCCTCATGCCTGCAGACAAATGCTCTACCACACCCCCAGCCCTGCCTTATCTTTCTTACAAGGGAAGTCAGGAAACTTTTTTTTAGGAAAGGATGCAGGGAAAAGACCAACGGAACTAGAACAAGAACCTTGAGGGCAGCAGCTAGTTAGAACCACTTCTAGCAGAAAGCAGCAGCGCTGACGTGGACAACCAAGGTTGGAGGGCCTTCCAGGACAGGCAGGGGCTACTCGTTGGAGAGCTCCCTGCAGGGACACGGTCCCCTTCCTACTCCCACCCTGCTTCCATAGAATTCTCAGGGCCCTTTCCTGTGGTCCCTATGCAGAGGCTGCAGACAAGAGCAAGCGTCTGCACAAATTAAGTGGGAGGCAGGGCCCAGGAGGCCACCTAGCACCTAAGAGTCCCATCAACACCAGTGAGGCATCCACATGGATCATGGTTCTCTATGGTATCTAAACGTTCCAAATTTTGGAAAAGAAACCAAGGACCCATTAAGCAAATGGAGGGGGAACTCAGACTGGTTCCCAGAGCCCAGAAAGGGCGTCTCTACCATGCGCCAGAGCACTCCTGCCAGACACGGAGCTCCGGACTCCAGCGCCGTGACGCATGCGCGAAGCAGTAGTTGCCCCTCCTGCCGTAGGAGGTGGTGCCCTTCCTCTTGATCGTCCCCACACCTAAGAAGTCCACACTCCCGAGTCTGGTTGGCAACCCAGAAGCCTGCTCCAGCTCTGCTACTCCAGGGCAAGCCGGTGACCCGGTGGCAGCCAGGAGAGTGAAAGCGGGCGTAGAGGAGCCTGCCCACTCTCACCAGCAGTCCCCTTAGCACCGCCTCGAGGGGGCAGAAGCAGTGAGAGCTGGAGCCTTCTGTAGCACCCAGAATCCTTTCCTGTCCAGGTGCAAAAGCCAAGGGTGACCTGGGACTTCCTTCTTAGACCTCCTTATGCTATTAAAGGCACTTCTGCTTGGACCTCTACTGCATTCTATTCCCCAGTGTCTCAAGGCCCTCTAAAGTGACCTACACAATTTTCTCTTCTCATACGTCTGAAACCTTAAGAACACAAGGAATGAATGTCACCTTTAATGACATGATTCAAGAAAATAAAATCTCCCTATTTTCCTTGAAAAGATGAATACAAGAGAAAGAAACACTCGGTGCTGCCTTCTCCAAATACAACAGGAGGTGAAATGCTCTCCTCCAGTTCAGAGATGAAAAAATCCCAAACAGCAGACTCAAAACAAAATGGGAATCGGTGCCTGCACCACCGAAAAACCTGCCTCAGAGTCCAGCCACACGACACATTAGAAGAGTTTCCTTTTTATTATTATTATTGTTTTACAATAAAAACAAATAGCTATGCTCTCAGCAAAACAAAACAAATTTTTTAAAAATCACAGAAATTTACTAACAGCATTTCAAGGTAAGGCTTTTGAAAGATTTATTGAAATAAATTATCTCTGCCTACATATTTACCTATCACCCTTTTTTCAATTACGTGTCAACATCCTAAAAACTTTCAGTTATGGAAAATACATTTACCTTTACCAATAATTTTAGATAATACTGGATTCTTCCAAAAAGGACTACCATAAACTATGCTTTCAAACATTAAAAAAAAAAACTTAATCCAATGGGACATAAAACTGAACTATGTAACCTATGATTGCATGTTTCAGATCCTTCAACACGTGAAGGATGCGAAGAGTCCACGCCCGGTCTGCCGCGAGGCACTGGGCTCACCATCCTACCTTTCTAAGTTGCACTAAACCAACAGGAACAAAGTGAAGGAAACGGAGGGCTCCAGGAAAGAAAGATACGGAAGGTATCTTTTATTTCTTCAACAACGCCCTCCACAGTCTACTCTTCCCTCTTGCAAGGCCCACCCCTTCTCCAAGGACCACGCCCACGGGCTCTGGCATTGCCTCATTTAGTTGACCAACCTCAAACCAAAGCTTGCTGCTTGACCTTCCTCATGTCCACAGGGGGCAAGAAATGGGGAGGGGCGGGTCGCCCGAGGGCAAGCTCACTGATGCAGGAGCACCAGAGTGAACGGAAGTAAAGCCAGCTGTGGACCAGGGTGCGGGTCATTCCCTGGGTGTCCAGGGACAAAGGGGTCAAGGCCTCACATTCTGTATCCCTGGGCTTTCCCTCTCGACTCCAGGAGTCAAACCAGGAGCTCTCTGACAGATGCCCTGCTGGCCCAGGGGCCCTGGAACCTGTGGTCTGGCCTCTGGATCACTCTGAATGCTTCCTCACTAAGGACAGCAGTGACAACAGATCTCCTCCAATGGTGTGGGGTCGGGCTTGTGCTGTGCGTCTGCTCACCGAGTCTGTGTACCCTCCCCCAGTGCTCTTCCTGCCAGACACGGAGCTCAGGACTCCAGCGCCATGACGCATGCGCAAAACAGGAGCTGCAGCCTCCCGCTGTAGGCAGGTGGTGCCCACTTCCTCTTGATCGTCCCCACACCTAAGAAGTCCAGTCAACGCAGAAGAGATCATGCCTAGAGTTAAAATGTGCAGTGTTTCTAAGGGAAAAGAAATGTCACGTAGAAAGTATTACAAAGGAGGATTAAATCTGTCAGCTGTCCAAACACTATTAAGACACGTGCTTTATACAGCGCAATGCGGTCGGCCTGCTTCTTCGCACGCAGGCAGCACTGGGTAGGCCACTCCTGGTCGGGCGCAGGGCTCGGGAAGAGGTGGCTGAGGAAGATGAGGAAGTGCTAGGAGGTCTGCTGCTTCTGAAGCCTCCGCTCGGCAGCAGCGGCCAGCATCCTTCGACGCAGGGTCACGGGGTCAGAGGACGTGCCTTCTGAGGGGAGAAAGCTCTCTGAGGCCGAGACATCTTCAGAACTTTTATTCAAGAATCGCCTACGAAGACAAAAGTCACATGAGAGATGGAAGCTCTGGAACACATTCAGAATGTGGCTTCATTTAGATTTCCCCCTCTCCAGGCACCTCATGAAGCTGCCACTCAGAACCGTCCCATGGAAAGGACACCTGCTATCTGGGCTAGACATGGGCTCAGTGGCAGAGCGCTGGCCTCATCTGCATAAAGCAGATAAATCAACCCCCACGGGAGGGAGGGAAGGACGCCTGTCTCTGAACAGATGGGGGCTATCCAGTCTCAGCATGCCCAAAGAAACAGCGCAGGGACCCACAGTTTTGTGTAGGGCCCAAAATCCACCCAGATGAACGCATGCTGGCCCTGTCCCCGGAACTGAAACAGAGAGCGCCTATCCACCCACAGGAACAGTACCAACCACGGTGGAACACAAGGTACTCAGACACTGCTGGTCTGAGATGCATAGTGGTCAAGAGGGACATTGGAAGCCAGATCGCAGGCCTAGGCAGTGTGAACCTCCCTGGGCCTCGGTTTCCTGGCTGTCCATTTCTCAAATGGGCATAAATAACAGTGCTCCTTCCCAGAGCTGGTAAGAGAACTAAGGTAATGAATGCGAACGGCTTGGGACACATGTGCGCATGTGGCTGCTATGTTCGCTTGAGATGACCGCCCCAAGGTACCAGCTGGCCTCAGTGTGGCCAGATCCTCTGCTGTTTCCAGAGGGGCTTGAAATCAGAGTTTTTAGGACATGCAATGGTTTTTCAATGCTGTCACCAGTTTAAAGGGGGCTGATGTGAGCTGGCACACAGGACCTGCAGCCCCTGGTTTCTGAGTGCAGTGGAAGGCAACTCACTTCCGAGCCTGCTGCAGGAGGTCGTCCTTGCGCTGGACCAACATGCGCTGTCTCTCATCAGCAGACTTGGAGAAGCGGCTCCCCCGGGCCTCAAAGTCTTCCACCTCATTGGACTCCATATCCACTTCACTGAAGTCCAAGTTCTCCTCCAGGCGAGGACTGAGGTCCAATGGCACACGCTCAGTCTGGACAGAGGGAGGAGCTGTGAGC